TGTACCAAAGCAGTGGCATGCATTTAGGTGTACACTGAAACTAATTCGTATGTGCAACCTTTCATTTGTGTTATGTAGAAAAGTCTGTTATTTCATTTTCTGTTTATGATGCATGGATACCTAATAATGGTAGCTATTACTTTTCTTTTACATCAGTTAGAATTTGAGAAAAAAAAATACAGATTTGGGTCCTCTCTGGTCCTTCGTGATGAAAATATGAAAAATATCAATTGGCATTCACTGAGAAGTACAAAATTAAGGATAGATGAAAACCATTAGTGGTTAGATTTAAAAATTATGAAGCAAGGTAAATTTTAGCTGTCTGAAGGGTGCAAGCGAGGATGCACGGGAGACGGGAAGGTGGTGAGGAGGAGGTTTCAGTGCGGAAAGGGAGAGGGAGAGTAAAGCAAAAGCAGTTGTTGAGCAGGAAGAGGTTTGAGCCAAGGGGAAAGTGAAGGAGCAAGAGGGAAGCTTGGCACGGAGGAGAAACGTGAGTGAAGAGCAAGAGGTGGCAGCTAGATGCCCAAAGCAAAAGAGGAGTGGGACCTCGAGGGAGAGAAAAATTTTGGCTCCCACATCCCTGCAGCTGAGAGGGGAAGAAACCTCGACATCTGCCCTGGCGGCTGGCAGAGATCCCGCCATGTCAGCACGAGCTCGTGCCCCGGCCAGGGCACGTTGCAGGGCTCAGTGCCGGCTCCTGCCGTGCTCGGCTCCGTCTTCTGCTAGGGAGGAACCCCCAGACAAAGCCTGAAGGGAGAAAGAAAAATTTAATCAACAGAATTTCTGGATAGTGCTTGGTTTCTCTTCCCCTAGCAGTAGCAGACCCTGAATCTTTAGAGCAAGGGCAGAGAACAGGTCTCAGGTACATCTTAAAAAGGGCTCCAGGGACATTTCTGAGCTGAAAAAACGCCGGGGGGGTTCCCTGGGTCTAATGCGAGCGCTCGCGTGGGGTTCTGTGGGCTCCTGGGCACTGCTAACCCGTGTGTCCTCTCGCCCCCCCAGCTCCTGGGTGACATCCTGATCATCGTCCTGGCTGCCCACTTTGCCAAGGATTTCACTCCCGAATGCCAGGCCGCCTGGCAAAAGCTGGTCCGTGTGGTGGCCCACGCTCTGGCCCGCAAGTACCACTAAAGCGTCAACAGGAAAACCCCGGCAGCATCCTCCGGCTGCGTGTTGCGCCCTGGCTGACACGCTGCGCTGGAGCTGACAGCTTGTAACACCCAAATAAAGCTCATCTTGTGAAGTCTCCTCTGTGCTGTGTGTCCCTGAGAGGACGGAGGGGTCGGGGGGGACGGGGACCTGGGGCACTGGCGGGTGGATCGGGGTGTAAGTTTGAGCAGGGTGAGTGTTTGGCTCCCAGAAAATGCCACTTCCCTTCTTCATTCTGTGTGGGGTTTTTTGGGGGGGGGGATTGTGTAGGATTTGCCTCTGAAAATCGTACTTAGCATTGGGTAGGCACAGCCCCGCTCCCTCGGTGGTCACACACTGGGAGGTTTGCTGTGAGGAACCAGCCGATATTTTACTGTGAAACCCGCGTGTATTCTTGCAGGCAAGGGGAACTTGGAGGATTCATATTTTTTAGAGAGGATAAATAAAGTGAAAACTTTAATCTACCCTGGCTCGTTCCTGGCGTAAAGCCTGTAAGAAATCAGCTGACTCATGCTGGCCAAGCAGCCAGCTGGGTGGGGGTAGGTTTTAGATAAACATTTTGCTATCAAGACCTGCCCAGACTTTGTTTATGCATTTCTTCTTCACCCTGTGCCGCCCATTCTGCAGTTACGGGGGTCCCAACCCTGCTAACGGTGGTGACTACCCATAATTTTCGTGCTGTATCAATCATGGCTCTGCGCCCGCAGAGTGTTTTGGGTGTTTAACTGCAGGGCAGGACTCTCGGGTGCAGAGTTTGTTCTTGGCGTGGGAAGCACCGTCTGCCCTGCCTGAACGGAGCTTAGCTGGAAGGACGGGCTCACTTTTTAGGAGGGAAGAGGGGGCACAGCTCTATATCCCAGGGACTCTGACAGCCTGTTTGCGCTGTGTCCTACCCCCACTTCACCCACACTTGCAGACATCCCACTCTCTGCCCCTGAGCCACTCGAGGGTATTAAATAAATGCCCCTTCTCACACACAGGACTCGAGGGGAGAGGCACTTTGCTTCTGGTGTCAGAGCGGACACTGAGAACATGAGAAGATGATCCGTAGCAAGTCCCAAAGTGTTCTCCTCCCTGCAGGGGTCTGGGCAGGCACAGTGCGGTGTCTTGCTCGGGTGCTCAGGGTCCCAATAAACCAGATTCTGACATGATTTGTCATAGGTTTCATGCCAGCTATTCGTAGACATGATTGTTCATAGATTTCAGGAAGAAATGACTGAATTATTTGAACAAGTAGGTCTCCTCCTGCAGGCGGGGTGTTGGGGTAGGAAGGAGCCGAGCAGAGCTCTGGGGTTAGACCCTACAGCAGGGCAGGGCTGGGCTCCTCCCCGTGCCAGGGGTCCTGCTGGGGTGCTGGGGTACCCCCTCCCGGGAGCAGGGACGAGGCTTCCCACCCCTGCACCCCCAGCAAACGGATCCTGGGGGTGTCCTCCCCCCAGGCTGCTTCACCTGCCCACATTGTGTGTCCTGTGTGATGGCAGGACGCGGCTGCGGGCCGGCGGGTCCTGGGGGGGCCGATAAAGTGGTGGAGGGGGTTGGCACTGGCACCATTCTGCCTGCACGTTCCCTCCCCAGCACACCCCAGGTTCCTCAGCATGCTCCAGCACACCAGCCCGCGTGCACTGGGTTTTCTTGAGAAAAGGCAGATGTACGCAAATCAAATGAGGATTATCCATCCCTATTCCATTGAAAAAAAGTCTACATCTAAAGGGGAAAAGAGATATTATCAGGATGAAAATGGGCCTCTGTTTTCTTGCTTTGTTTTCTTGTCTCACAGGGGATCAGGGACAGGACAAGAGGGAACGGCTGGAAACTGCCCCAGGGGAGGGTCAGGCTGGGCAGGAGGAGAAAATGTTTCCCAGCAAGAGTGGTCCGAGAGTGGAACAGGCTGCCCGGGGAGGGGGGAGTCCCCATCCCTGGGGGGTTTCAGGGCCGTTGGGATGAGCTGTGGGGGATGTGGGGTAGGGGAGAACTTTGTGGAGTCGGGCTGAGGGTTGGACTCGCTGATCCCGAGGGGCTTTTCCAACCTGAAGGGTTCGGGGATTTTATGATTTTAATTTTCTTTCTTTTAATGGATTTTCCTTCCATTCCTGTGTTTCAGGAAAAGGCTAAGGCGGCAGGGGGTGGTCCATGGAGGAGAAAGGCTAGCCCTGATGTCTGGAGAGAATCCTGCTGAGCGCTTTAACTCTGCTGCAATCCAAACCCCCACCTCCTACCCTGTCACTAGTCCAGCCAGACCCAGTGACTTACTCAGCCCAGTCCAACTCCTAACCTGGCTCAAAGCTCCTGTGCTTGCAGCAGGGACTGTGTTTCTTGGGGGTTTATGCAGCAAATAAAAGAAGAGATCCACCCCCCCACGCAAGGGTGTTGCTCCTGGTGAGGGCTCATCACCCCCGCTGTGCTCGGGGGGGGTCCTGGGGGGAAAATTCACCCCCCTGGCAGAGGAGGCTGGGCACAGCCCAGCTGAACGTGGGGGAAAATGTGAACTATGGCAAGGGCAGGATAGGGAGGGAAAGGCCTTGGGCTCCTCCCGGGGCTGGGCATCCCTCAGCTGAGCTTTTGCTGCTTTTTGCGCCCACAGCAGATCCTGCAGTGGCAAACCTTGTGCTCAACAACCATTTCACCTGCCCTTTAGGGATGCGGATGGAGGCAGAAATGGGATGAAAGGGGTGATGCTGTCTGACCCCTGCTCCCTGTCCAGCAGCGCTGCGCCCGGCTGGTCCTCCTGCATCTGAGGGGACAAGGTTTGGGTGAGCTTCTTTCTGCTCCAGAAGGGACAAGTGAACCAAGCGGGCCAAACTGTGTTACGGGAGGACAGGAGGGTTAATGCAGGTTTCAGCTGCGAAGCCTGAGCATCCTCTGAACACCCCCAGCATTGCCCCCAGCTCCCGGGGGTGCCAGGAGACTGTGGCAAACCCCTCCGGGCTGCTCTGCATTTTGGCCGGGACATTCCGCTGACAGAGGCTGAGGCAAGGCAGATGTAAAGCCCCCGGGAGAGGCGAGGTGCAGGGCTCGCCAAGTGCACGTGGAGTCCTGCTGGACTGTCGCACCGTGGCTTGGGCAGCCCCTCCTCTGCCAAGGGGCCCTCGTCTGGTCCGTGAGATGGAGAATTGCCTGCACGGAGGGGAAGGGACAAAGCTCTTGAGCTCAGGATAACCAGAGGCCCCTTCTCAGCGTGCCACACCCTGGCCACCCCCTTCTGCTCCCCCGCTGGTGGGGACCCCCCCGCCGGCCCCAGCCAATGACCCCCCGGGGAAGGACGGGGAGGAGCTGCGGGCAGGGGATAAAAGCCTCCGTGGGGTCTGCAGCTCAGCTACGGGGTCTGTGTCCTCCTGCGACGCCGAGCGAAGCCTCCACCCGCCACCATGGTGCACTGGACAGCCGAGGAGAAGCAGCTCATCACCGGCCTCTGGGGCAAGGTCAACGTGGAGGAATGCGGTGCCGAGGCCCTGGCCAGGTAGGTCCCGCTCCGGGGCATCAGCTGGGCTGACCCCGGGGTAGAGAAACTGTGGCGATTGT